ATCCATCTTCTTCTTTCACCTATGACAATCAGCTTTAACTTGATCAACCTCGCCCCGGAGCTGCCCAATCATCTCCAACTTTTGTTGTAGCTGAGATATCGAAGTATTAGCCTCCGAAGTAGGGCCAAGAAGACCATACCCTGTTAATATCACAGTTACCTGCTCATCTAGCTCGGCCTCATTTTTCTGAGCTTTGGACAACTCAGCCCGGAGGTCCCTAAGCTCTTCTTCCTTTTGGTTACAAAGGAGCCTCAGGGCCTTCTCTTCACCCGAAACTTTCCTAAGCTCGGCCTCGCATTGGCTCAGCTCGGCCCTAAACTTGAAGATGGCCTATACATGAAGTGAAGATATGTCAGTCAAAGGAAAGGAAAGAAAGAAAAATTACAGCAATGAAAGTTAATATTTACCTGAAAAAGGAGACGTTGAGCCTCTTCGAAGATGGTGGAAGCATTGTTAAGATCGGTGGTATCTTCAATCCCAGCATAGCAACCGTGAAAGGGATCTTCCTTGAGGACCTTGCTCGGATCGGGCATACGCAGAGCGTTAGCATCTTCGATTGCCTCCTCGGAAGAAGATGGTAAAGAGAGGGAGTGACCTGTTGTCATGGCCTCGAGCTCTTCACTCGGGGCATTCTGATTGGCTTCGAGAGTTTCCACACTCTCCCCTTCGGGTATATCTGTTGAAGGCGGAGGAACGATCTCAATCTCCGGAGATACGGGGGCCTTGCCCAAATCCTTCTTTGGGGTTCCCTCACCACGGGATGAGATCTCTAGTTCGGAGGGCTTGGCAGCCTCGATTGATCTCCTGGTTCGAGGCACCAACACCAACTCTTCATCATCATTTCCCTTTGTCATCTGGGGAATCGTGGGCTGAATCTGCGTCCACATGAGCAAATTTCCTCCGTAGCCTCCGAGCATTGGTTTTCTTGTCTTGAGGGTCTTCAGGCTTCGAAACCCTCTTCCTTTTGTTGTCCTTCCCCGATTTCGGAATCGAAGGCTTGGTCCCTTCCCTAGGCGGGGCTGGCCTCATTTCGGAGACATCTCCGATACCTGCACAAGTAAATATGAATGAGTCAACGCCACCAATATATCAGAAGTATCAGAAACTTGGGAAGAGAACTTACCATGATGTTTGGCCTCCCACTTACCCCTCGATAATTCACGCCATTTGCGCTCATCATAGGAGGAGGTGGCAGTTAACCTTCGAACCCAGCCCTCGAGGTCAGGGACCGCGTGAGGTGCCCAAGCAGTGGCTGCGGAAAGAGTAAAGGCATTATGAGGCGTAAAAACTGAGAATGAGTAGATATTAGGGAGAAGAACTCCACATACGGTTAAAGTTCCATCCTTCAGGAACGACATTTTATCCCTGGGGATGACATCCGAGGTCCTTACCCTAACTAACCGGCTCATCCAGACCCCAACCTTGGCTTTGTCATTACTGGCAAAAAAGTCTTTCTTCGTGCGACGTTGCAAATTGATAAGCCCTCGAAACAGCTGGGGCCGATACAATCGAATCGGGTGGTTGAGGGTGAATTCCAACCCCTCGGACTTTTCGGAAAAGTTGCGCAACATGATCACGATGTTCCAAAAAGAGGGGTGAATCTGAACGAGGGTGACTTCGTATGTTTTGCAGAAATTGATCACCACCGGATCGAGGGGACCTAGTGTGAAGGGGTAAGGGTAAACACTTAAACCCCCTCCACGCGGGTAGTAATGCTTTCCTCGGGGCTCGGGATCTGAACCACGACCTCGTCTTCCCAACCACAGTCCTTCTTCACATCTTTGAGGCGCTTCTCTGATATCAAACTAGATATCGAGATGCATGCTCGCATCGTCCTGGGAAATCAGGGGATTTTCAATACTAAAGTCCTTCTTAATCACGCAAGGACCGGGGGTGATATCTTCAAGAGTCGGCGGCGCCACCGGTTTGGCCGGCTGGGAGGTAGAAGAAGACGACGCTTTATCTTTTTTGGGGGCCGTTTTGGAAGTTTTAGCCATGATTTTAAGCTAAAGAATACGGGTTGTATCAGAATGTGGTATTTTTACAAGAACCTGGCATTTTTCGGTGCTTAAAGAGGCGGTGGAAACAGGTGATTAGAGAAAGAGATGAAGAAGGGAAAGATGTAATGAAAGAGTAAAGTTCTTTACTCAAAGGAATAGCCTCATATTTATAGAAGGGCAACGACGGTTCGGCGGCGCTAGTGGGCGACCAGTACTGGCATGCATTTAATGTTTTAGGGAAGCGAACTGATGGGACGTTTCAGTCACTTCGAGCGCCTGTGTCACAGGGATGACGTCATCGCGATGGACTCCGAAAATTGAGGTTCAAATCGTTTCTTATCATCTTATTCTAAGAAACGCGGGGACTATCTGTATACGATCATAATCGCATGCCTCCCATTATAGCCTCGAGGGGCCGAGTCCGGGCAAGGTCGAGTTCGAGATCGAGGGACCAGAACCGAGTTCGAAGATAGAGCACGATGCGTACAGAGGCCGAGTATGCTCGACCCCGAAATAGTACCGTTAGAATTTGTAACGGAATAAGCTAGATTCCTGCCACGTTCCTATGATCATGGCGCAAATTCCGGAATAGGATTGTACGATTCCGTACTAGGTGGTTAGACAGTTGTACCAAGAATATTCCTTACTGTAAATAGAAATATTCCTTATTTAGGGTTCCCCTATTATATAAAGGGGACCCCAATCATTTGTGACATCACATAATCACTGAGAAAAGAATATACTCTCTACTTTTTGCCTACTGTTCATCAGCATTGTCCTTTAGCTCTGCTGCTCTTTCTTTACTTTTCTTACTTTATTGCTTTTGACCCGTCTCGAGGTCACCATCTCGAGGTCGCTACTGCTAAGTAACATTGGTTTGATTCAGTTATCTCTTTCATTTCTACTTCATATTTCTTGATTATTAATTGGTATTGAACTAAATCACATATCTTTAAAATCACAAATCAAATTTAATTGTTACTCGTATTTTCGAGGTAAACAAACACAATAAAAGAAAGAAGCCTTTGCAAAAAGTATTGTATTTGTACTTACGGAAAAGGGCCAAAACTAACCCTATTGTTTGCTAAATGGTTTATAAATACCCTCCGTCCATCTATCCGTCCAAAAATATATACCACGTTATTTTTATTAATAAAATTGCCCTTCCTTTTAACAGTGCAACATGTGGGCCTTCAAATTAATGCGCTGGCATATTTTTATTGGGCCACGTGGCTCTCCCATTTAGAAATCTAATATGGGTACAATATCGCCCCATTAACCGAACCTGGCCCATTTTTTAAACCCCTTTACCCTTGTATCTTCCTCATTTTGACTAACCAAATTAAATCTCCTCAACCGTAACACACCTTTTCCGGCGACCTCTTTCTCCCTCCGTTTTGTTTCTTATTGTCACTTCCCCATGCGTCTTTGAGTGTGGTAGTCTTGAATACAGAGTGCAGGCTAATTAATTGATTTTGTTAATGTAATCAAACCCTTATTCTCTTGTGTTTCAGTAATTCTTGCCGTGGCTGAAAATTTGATTTATCGGAAAATGTTGGCCTGAAATTTTTCGGAGTTGCTACCACAAGAAGCGGCATGAAGCAAGAGAGCAACAGAAGAAAATAATTGAATTTGTATGGCAACAGTCATGGTTTCTCTATGTTCTTTTTCTGATTATTTCTTCGAAAAAGAGCAAGGTTATTCATTCACCATTTTCAAAGCTTTTAGTGGGTTTAAGGACCCATTTTAATAGAGAACGAAATCTTTCCCTACAGATTCTTTATGTAAGCATATTTTGTATTTGTCTCTGTAATCCTCACTTTTCGATTACAATTTGAACACTTAAATTTTGCTTCTTTTATTTTTCATAGTTACAGGTGAAGATATCTTTGTTGGGTGAAAAGGGTGCGGTGGACATTTACATGACTGGAGGTGATGGAGGAGGAATGGGGTATGGAGCCACATTGAGTTGAAATAATATCCATTTTTTGTTCTAGTCAAAGATTGTCACGTGGCCCAATTAAAAATCGTCACGTCATTAAATGAAAGACCCACCAGTTCTGCCGTTAGTCGCGGGAGTATTTTTGTTAATAGAATTAACGTCGTGTGTTTTTTTGGACGGATAGATGGACGGAGTGTATTTTTTTGAACGGATAGATGGATGGAGGGTATTTATAAACCATTTAGCAAACGATAGGGATAGTTTTGGCCCTTTTCCGTTGTACTTATGCAGTATCTTTGTTGTATAATTCATTGATTCTGATAAAGCTGTTATTCCAATAAGAATATTACATAGATGGAAAGTTTGCAAGTTGTATTCAGCTGTACTGAGAGTATGCAAGTCTTTGAGTTGGGAAGTTGTAAAAGAGATAGTGATGGCTTGTCTCATTCAATAAATGTCTTTAGCATGATGAATAGTTGAATACATACATTTGCGTCTGTTGGGAATGCATATAGAAGCGTACGCTCTGCTTAAACACATGGTTTTCTACTTGTTAAGTAAAATTATGGCCAGCGTGCTTTAAAATTTTGACACGATGTTTTTTTCCCGAAACTTTTGTTAGCGGGATCAAAAATTGTATTTTATTAATTACAGCTGCTTGCTTTTCCCATATTATTCCTCGACAAAGAAAGTCTCTATTCGAGAAAGAAATCAGTTTCAAGAGAAACTTGAATTATGAGGTGGATTGCACCAATATAAGATATTCCAATACTTAAAAAGTTTAGATAATGTAAAAATATCAAGAATAGAATCACTCTTTCCAAGTCACTTTTTATGCTAAAAGCTAAGGAAATAAAAGGTAACAAAACATAGATTCTTGAGAAGAAAGGTAAAGTGTGGGAAGGGAAGAGTTTCAACTGAAGAATAGGAATATTTAGACACCAAAATGAGATGCCTTTAATATCAAACATATAGGCCTTTTTAGAACAAGAAAGTGATGCTTTTCCCACGAGGCATGATATATAAGAACAATAGGAGAGGTCAAGAATATTAATGAAGATATTAACTACCTCATGTGCAAATGCTAATTAGGCAGGAATCAGATTCCAACTAATCAATAAGACTTGAAAATGAAATGAAACAATCCATAATATTTCCAAATCTTGCTACTCCATCATCTCCTTCTGAAATTTGAAACAGAACATTTTCCTTCTTCATGACTCAGAAGGTAACAATTCTTTTCCTAGTTGTGACTTGTGACACACAAAGGCCCCGATCGGTTCAATCTTTAACGTTCTTAGTACTGAACTCATTATATTTAAATTATAAGTTCAGAAGTTAATATTTGTTGAAATTTTTGTAATTTTTTATATATATATTTATGCTCGGTGTTGAAAATATATATTAGTTACAGTTGAACTTGTTGCACAAAGATTACATCTGTCTCTGGTCCTTGATAGGTTTAATCTTTAAGGTTCTTAGTACTAAATTCATTGTACTTTTAAAATTATACGTTCAGAATTTAACATTTGTTGAAATTTTAGTAATTTTTCACATATATACTTATATTCGGTGTCCCAAATATTAGGTTCAGTTGAACTTGTTGCACAAAGGTCACATCCGCCTCCTGTCCTTGATTCTTTTTTTTTTTTTTTTTTTTTTTTTTTTTTTTTGCATTATTTTGATTGCAAGTTTTCACTGCCTAATGAATGTTCAAGCATGCAGTTGTTTTGCATGGTGATGAGGATTAACATAGACTGCAAAGGATGTTACATGAAAGTAAGTCGAGCACTTCTCACAATGCCAGGTAAATTATGCTTCTTAGATTCTTAAAAGCTGCTACCTTAATCTAAGCTCCCGTTTGGATATAGGTTTTGGCTAAAAAAAAATTCAAAAAAAAAAATTAAAACATTGTTTGTTTATAAAATTTAATTAATTCTTGAAAAAAAATTTCAAGTTCCAAAAACTGGTTTGGGCCTACTTTAGGGTGAATTTTTTTTCGTTTTTTTGTACTCACAAAACTTCGAACAATTTTTTTGAAACAAGATGGATGTCCAAACACAACTTCTAACTTCCAAAAATTATTTTTCAATACAACTTTAATTTTTATTTTTTTTTTAAGTTAATCAAATCTATGTCTAAACGCTAGCTTAATTTGATCAAACTTATAAGAAAGATTCTGAATTGATCCTTGACTATTTTATATTGGGAATTGATGAAGAGCTGGAGACAAGATTCATAGAGAAAAATCATAGCAGAGTAATTGTTTGTGGGAATTTTGTACCACAAGATGTAGCCATCAAAATAAGGAAGAAGACAAATAGGAGGGTTGAAATATTGGAGATACAAGAATTAAGTGGCAGTGATGAAAAACAAGAAGAACAAATGCCCTTAATAAGCTCTTGCAACAACCAAACTGAAACAGAAACATATGTAACATCACAAGATTCACAACCACACATGTATTTTCAAGTTATCAGCTAATCAGAACATAATTGTAATCACTTTTATTATTTATTTCTGTTAATTAATGCCTAGTCCCATTGGGTTTAGATCTTTCCGTTTTGTCTAATTATTGATTTATTGTGGATTTAACTTCTATGTATTGATAGTGTATTTGATTTTTATAATACCAATTTATTTAATTTGTTATAATAGGCATTTACTTTATTTTATATATTATCGAATTATATTATATCATAGCGTTGTTATAGGTCATCTTAATTCGATGATACAAAAAATTTATACGCAAAAAAATCAAAGTCGATGTGCTTCTTTGTTTCATTGACTTAGGAGTGATCTCAGAGGTTTTGGTGTATTGCACTTCATCAAGTTCCCATGTGGAATTAAAGGTGATCTATTTATTTTTTCCATATATTAAAAATGAATTTTTCAATATACAAAAGAGGTAACATTTGGACCTTTCATCTGCTTCAACTAAAATATACTCATATAAAGAGCTTTCAAATGTTGTAAGTATTGTAAAAATCAATCATAATAAAATAGTTCAACATAATTTTACCACATAAATTAAAACATTTAAAAAACAATACAAAGATGAAACGTCTTAAAAGACAGCGACAATATAAAGAAAAGTATAAACTTAAGTGAGGTCAAGTAAAAACAGAAAAACATCTTGCAACTGGCTGTCAACCTGCACCAAAGGCCAAGTATGAAACATTGTATTGAAAAAAGAAGAAAAAAAGGAACTGTGAATTAACTTGTTCTGAAAATCAACTGAAACGTGTCTTGGCTAAATATCTATGAAATTTGGTGATAAATCACACTAAAGTAATTTGCTACTTGGCACCACTATTCTCTACATAGTAAGGTGATTTAAGTGATCAAATTGATGCTTTATATTGTTAGAACCGGAAAAATCAGGTGTCATGGCAGAAGCTAGTAAAGTAACACTTGAACGACGATAAATCAGACAACAAAAGAGAAATCTACCAAAAGAAACACAAACATTTAACGTGTTTCGGTCAACTAACCTACGTCCACGGGTGGAGTGAGCAATCCACTATATAAAAAGAGAGTACAAAATATCGAGAGAACAACCTCACGAAGAGGCAAAACACAAGTGACACACTAACACTTGTCCTGTAAAGTTCTCCCCCTAAACACGACTCTCAAACCCCATATGGCTACATTGTGGATGCTGCTGAATGAGAAAGACGGATCTTCAATTTATAGAATACCAAACATTTTCCTACAAGAAAAGGGACTAGCCAAATATGGGAGATTTGTAATTTCCTTCTACAAGAAGGAAAACCAATTAAGGTAAATATGTTGCCCTTTCCTTCAAGAGATAGGAAAACCAATTATGGTAAGAAAATCTGGACAAACACCTAACAATTATCCCCCTTGGCCTGAATTTTCTGACAAAATAAACTTAATCCACCCTCTTCACATAGTCTTTAAAAATCAGTGGATTGAAGCCATGGAAGATGAGATGAAGTCACTCCATGAGAATGGCACATATGAGTTAGTGAAATTGCCGAAAGGTAAGAGAGCTTTATCTAACAAATGGATATTCAGAATAAAGCAAGATAACCATACCTCTGCGCCTAGATACAAGGCGAGGTTAGTTGTTAAAGGTTTTGGCCAGAATAAGGGAGTTGACTTTGATGAAATTTTCTCCCTTGTTGTGAAGATGTCTTCTATTCGTGTGGTTCTAGGCTTAGCCGCAAGTCTAGATTTAGAGGTTGAGCAGATGGATGTCAAGACTACTTTTCTTCATGGTGATTTAAATGAGAAGATTTATATGGAGCAGCCTGAGGACTTTGTAGTTAAGCTTGCAAATAAATATGAATTTTGCAGAAAATTGGCAGGCATGAAGCCTGTCAATAGTTCCTCTACTTGAAGACACGTTTGGCCCTTTGGCCGGAGGGGGAGTTTGTTAGGCGCATGCCCATGTTGTCCGGCCAAAGGCCCAATGGCCTAATCCTATTCTCTTTTGGTTTTCATTCCTATTCGAAATTGGATTCACTTTTTGTTCCTATTTAGAGTTGGTTTTGGCTTTAAGGGAAAGCACCACTCATGATCTATAAATAGGACAACTTTGGAGAATCATTCCATGCTCATTGACACAAGTCTTTGAAAGACTTAAGCACATAAGAGTGGTTTATGAGAGAGCTTTCATCAAGAGAGAAGAGAGAAGAAAAGTATTCGTTTTGCTGCAGTTTTCTAATTCCGACCGGCCAACTTCAAATCATGTTTTTCGATTCGTTAACCGTTGGATCGGGCTGAAATTTTGATTAAGTGTTCGTAACATCTTGATCTTGGATTTGAACTGTGAAGATCGGATTTGGAGGCCTGTAGCATCTGATTTCGATCCTCAAATAGCAGCTTCGTTTTTTGGGATCCCGTGGTTTTTACCTTCGATTTGAAAGGTTTTCCACTTAAAAATTTGGTGTTCTTTATCTTCTTTATTTTCGGGTTTGCCTTCTCCTCGACATTATATATATATATATATATATATATATATATATATATATATATATATGTATGGCCAAGTAGTCAAAGTTCAATTCCATAATGATATAGTAAACACAGTTAATATAAATTTGGTATTTTTTCCACATTGCTTAGGATTTTATCAGTTGTCATACTATTCATTTCTTCTTTACTCCAGAAGAAAGTTATATTAAAACATTAAGCACGATCGTGTTGATCGTTTCTTCATAGAACTAATCAATATAACTCCTAATTTATTGAGATACAATTAGAGGGGAAGCACACAAACAACTATTCTTAAGCTGATAAATAGGGATTAGTCAATACTTTATCCTGAAAATTTGAACTACAACTTTTAGTTTCAAGGCATTTGTGTCTCAAAGAATTAAACGGAAAAGCTAAAATTCATGATACATATGCTAATTTCTAATTAGTATTCCTCCGGTTCACTTTAATTGATTTTTTGGTTGTTTTCACACATATTAAAAAATTCACCTTTTAACATTAATTAATAATAAAATTAATCATATTAACCTTAATTTATTCATTGGAAATATAATAAATACTCCTAGGCTCTTTACTCTAAGGACAACTTTAAAAAAGGAAGTTAATTCCTTCTCGATATCTAACCAAATATAATGAACCACAACAAAAAAAAGTAAAAAAATCAAATAAAGTGGACAGGAGGGAGTAGTCCTTTAGGAAAATTTTTCTTTTGTGTCTCATATAACTTACACTAGTGTTGTATGAGACAACTTTTTGTCTCACAGTTTTGTGGACCCAGAATTCTGTGGACCCAAAAGTGTAAGATTGGGGTCCACAATTTTGTGAAACAAAAAGGAGCCTCATACAACTAGTGTCAGTTGTATGAGACAAAATAAAACTTCTCGTCCTTTAGAATGGCTACTATTGTTTAGCTAAGTGCGCCAACTTGATTACTTCCATGAAAGACGTGCTATGATACAGGAATAGCCAAGCAATCATTGATAAGGTGTGAGTATTCATTATTGTTAGCACTGAAATTCATGTTAGTGATATAATTTATATGTTGTGTCCAAAACTTAATTAATAATTTTTTGAACATAAAATATATTTTTGATGTTAAAAAAAAAATACAATAATGGATATTTCGCAGTTTTATACTGCGAATTGGCTTAACGGATTTTTTGCCGTTAAGGCATTTCGCAGTTTTAAAAAAAAATAATTTTTTTATGACATTTCGTAGTACAGTACTGCGAATTACAATTCGTTGTACTGAACTACGAATTGCCCTAATAAAAACGGGTCGTCTTCTTCCCACAGACAACGATCTCCATTAAAAAATCAAACTCAAAGTTTTCTGGTCCCCCACCCCGCCTACAATTTAAAAAAAAAAATCGGCCCCATCCGTCCCATAAAGAGCAAGAAGTGTAGTCCCACACACAAAAGAAGTTTTTGATTGCGTGTTTCGGGTGCAAAAATTCGATTTCAATAATATTTACATCGAGGTATTTCAATTTAGTTTATGTCGAAACTCATATAGTCATGTATTAGTATTGTTTAGTATGTTTCCATGTGAATTTTTGTTATGTTAGTGTTTAATTTTGTTTCTTTTATATACCCGGTTTGATTTATTTGATATTCGAATTTATGTTATGTTTGTGACCAAAAATGCTACTTGATTGTTTGTGTTAAATAATATTATTTATTTTGTTTATTTGTATTGTTGATGTTATGTTCATATTGTATAGCCTTATAGCGTAGTAAAATATAGTGTCTTTTAGCGAAGTAAAATATAGAGCCTTTTAGCGAAGTAAAATGTAGAGCCTTTTAGCGTAGAAATTGAGACTTATAATAATTAAGAATGCTACTTGATTGTTTGTGTTAAATAATATTATTTATTTTGTTTATTTGTATTGTTGATGTTATGTTCATATTGTATAGCCTTATAGCGTAGTAAAATATAGTGTCTTTTAGCGAACCTTTTAGCGTAGTAAAATGTAGAGCCTTTTAGCGTAGAAATTGAGACTTATAATAATTAAGAATTATTCGGTGGTACCGGGCGTCAAAAATCAAGCCTGGAACCCATACATAACTATTATCTCCAATTTCAAAAATCATACTTAATTTAATTTATTAAGTTAATAAAAATCTAAAAATGTTGAAATTGAGACTTATAATAATTAAGAATTATTCGGTGGCACCGGGCGTCAAAAATCAAGCCTGGAACCCATACATAACTATTATCTCCAATTTCAAAAATCATACTTAATTTAATTTATTAAGTTAATAAAAATCTAAAAATGTTGAAATTGAGACTTATAATAATAAAGAATTATTCGGTGGCATCGGGCGTCAAAAATCAAGCCTAAAACCCATACATAACTATTATCTCCAATTTCAAAAACCATACTTAATTTAGTTTATTATACTTAATTTAATTTATTAAGTTAATAAAAATCTAAAAATATTGAAATTGAGACTTATAATAATTAAGAATTATTCGGTGGCACCGGGCGTCAAAAATCAAGCCTGGAACTATTATCTCCAATTTAAAAAATCATACTTAATTTAATTTATTAAGTTAATAAAAATCTAAAAATGTTGAAATTGAGACTTATAATAATTAAGAATTATTCGGTGGCACCGGGCGTCAAAAATGAAGCCTGGAACCCATACATAACTATTATCTCCAATTTCAAAAATCATACTTA